AGCCATTGACTTTTCCACTTAAAATGTGCACAGGCTGCTGAACTATAAGGAAATGGCTGTGTACTCAAGGTACGGATGAGCAGAAAAAGAAATATCACATGGTTGGTTCCCGGGACGTCCATGACGCATCTGGCCGGAGAGACCCTCCTTCCCACTGGGAGGGAGCTGACACTCAAAGCCTGGTGTGTGTCCGGGACATTCTGACTGGGAACATAACTGCACTAAGCAATACAATGGTTCTTGAGCACACTGTTGCTGTGCGCACTGTGAGCCACTTCCAGTCCCCGCTGAAGTCCTTCCAGGTCACAGGAGTGTAGGGGAGCCCCTGAGAGTGTCCGTGTCTGGCAGGGGACGCTGGGCTGTCTCCAGCAAGAACAGTTTCCATACTTGAGAACAAGTTGTCAGATTTTCCCAGAGACAGAAAGGTCAAGATCTTAGAGAGGAGGCGGCTGCTGCCTATGCTCAGATTCCCTCCTGCCAAAGGCGGTGCTTGGCACTTGTCTCCACCCCGCCACCCCGTGCAGGATGAAGAAAGAACCAGTTCTGCACAGCGTTTCCCTCTCGCCCTCTGCCTGGCACTGCTCTGATGATTTCCTCTTGCGGAAGGCGCAAGCTCTTCCCCCACGCCCAGAATTCCTTTCAGGTAACGAAGACCCTCCAAGGACTGATCGTTCCAGCACTCCCTCCCCCATGCTAAGGATGCATCTAAGGATATGGGCAGTCCCAGTACCAGGAGAAACATTTGCATCTTTAACAGTTTCTCCCGTGACCGTAATTTATGCAGTTCATAGCTCATCTAGCTTCTCCAAGGCCTGTGGCCACTGGGACAATGAGAATGGACCTGGTCAAAGTGATGCTGTGGACAAAAGGTGTCTCCGTTGACCCCACACCACCAGTTACCTTCTTTCTGTAGATGCGGCTGCTGGTTGCAGCATCTCCTCTTCTCCCACAGCTACAGTTCTCCTTGTGAGCATACTTCAGAAAGTTTACAGAATATTGAATTAAAACATAATTTTGGTGCAAAAATTTTTCAAAATCCGTGCATTTTTTTTTTACAATAAGCACTTTCCATGAACTTTTAACAATGGTATTTAGTTAAGAAGAAAGATCAGAGAGAGTGAGTGGAGGGGGGAGAGAAAGGAACACACAGAAACCGAAAGAGGTCCCATCTGCCAGTTAACTCGCTAAATACCTGCAACAGCTGAGGCTGTGCATTAGCAGCAGCTGGAGTCAGTGGCCAGAGCTACGGCTTGAACCCAGGTACTCTGGTGTGGTATGTGGGCATCCTAACCAGAGTCTCAGCTGCCGTGCCCAACTCCTGGGTCCCCATGGACGTTTCAAAGACCCCTGTATGGTTATGGGTACTGTACTCTTGGGAGTTGCACTACTGGGAGACAGTGTATGAATATGTAACCCAAATAAAATTGGGCTCCCTTGAAGCCAAGCTCCACCAAAACAACCTTAAAATGAAACAAAAATGTGACCTCAGAGCACTGAGGTGTAACACGTCTTTTTCTGGTCCTGAGGCAGCAGTGTACTATGTTGTACATAAAAATTTCTGGAAAGTCCATGTTTTAAATCTCTTCCTTCAGGGGAAAGGGAGCGAGAGAGGGGAGGGTTGCGGGTGGGAGGGACATTATGGGGCGGGGGGGAAGCCATTGTAATCCATAAGCTGTACTTTGGAAATTTATATTCATTAAATAAAAGTTAAAAAAAAAAATCTCTTCCTTCAATCCTATTCCGCACAAGAGCAGGTGGTGTATTTTCTTATTATTTATTCTTCTTCTTTTTTTGCCAGGCAGAGTTAGACAATGAGAGAGAGAGAGACAGAGAGAGAAAGGTCTTCCTTCCGTTGGTTCACCCCCCAATGGCCACTGTGGCTGGCGTGCTGTGCTGATCCGAAGCCAGGAGCCAGGCGCTTCCTCCTGGTCTCCCATGCGGGTGCAGGGCCCAAGCACTTGGGCCATCCTCCACTGCCCTCCCGGCCACAGCAGAGAGCTGAACTAGAGGGGGAGCAACCGGGACAGAATCCAGCGCCTGGGACTGGGACTAGAAACCCTGGGTGCCAGCGCCGCAGGGGAGGATTAGCCAAGTGAGTCGCGTCGCCAGCCAGGTTCTTTCTTTTCCTTTCTCTCCTTGAAACTTCCCGTCTCCAAGCACCTGGCCACCCCTTCCTCCTCACAACAGCCCTCATCTTGCCCGGCCCTTTTCCTGCCTTCTGGATGTTCTTTCCTCTGTAGCCCTGGGCTCTGTCCTATTTTCTGCTCCACTTTTCTTCTTCAGTCCTGTATTCTACCCATTTCCCACTTGTCACAATAAGAGCATGTTAGTAGATGCACATCAAGAGAAGTTCTGAGGTCGCAACGAAGGCAGTGTGTCACAAGGAAGGAACCACAGCAGTGGTGCTTCCTGGCTCCCACACTTCTCTGTGTGTGTGTTGGGAAAAACAGACAAAACATCTTGTCCAACGCAAAATCCTTGGCACCTTAGAACTGTGCTGGTATTTCACAGAGATGAGTGGAACAGGATTTGTGTTTAGTGCAACCTCTGCTCATTCTTAAATCCAGTGAGCATGCTACCACTACAGTTTCAAGCTATTTTTCAAATGTGTTAGTACAGGATCTGGCTTCGGACAGTGGACAGCTGTCCCAGTGTTACCATCAGCAACTTGTCCACCTGCTTTTTTCACTCACTTGGCTGTTGTCAGTAGCCTCTTGAATGTGTGATGCCATTTATGTCAGTGCCCTCAGCCCTTCCCTTCTCTGGACCATACTCTCACTCAGTAGTGATTTCCAGGGACTTTTCTGATTTTCTACTTGATTGTAAACTTAGTTCCTAATGAGGAATATGACACATAATGAATTCTTAAAAACATTTCTTGTGGGGCTGGCGCTGTGGCTCAGTGGGTTAATGTCCTGGCCTGAAGCGCCAGCATCCCATATGGGCACCGGTTCTAGTCCTGGCTGCTCCACTTCCAATCCAGCTCTCTGCTGTGGCCTGGGAAAGCAGTAGGAGATGGCCCAAGTGGTTGGGCCCCTGCACTGGCGTGGAAGACCCAGAAGAAGCTCCTGGCTCGGATCGGCGCAGCTCTGGCTGTTGTGGCCAATTAGGGAGTGAACCAGTGGATGGAAGACCTCTCTCTCTCTGTCTCTCTGTCTCTCTGTCTTTCTCTCTCTTTGTAACTCTTTCAAATAAATAAATCTTTTTAAAAAAGGAAAAGAAAACATTTCTTGTACTGGTGTGGAGGTCTGGCCTAGTAGTTAGGATCCTATATTTAGTATCTGGTTTGGAGTCCCAGCCCCTCTGTTGACTCCAGCTTCCTGCTAATGTACACCCTGGGAAGCAACAGGTAATAGTTCAAGTACGTAAGTCCTTGCTTCCCTTGTGTTAGACCTGTATTGAGTTCCTGTCTCCTGGTAACTACCAGGCCCAGTCCTGGCTGTTGTAGGCATTTGAAGAGTTACTCAGTGGATGGAAAAATCTCTGTTGGCCTGTCTGTCCTTTTGCCTCTTGAATAAATAAAAAGTAAAAAAAAAATATTTCTTCTATGGATGAATAAAATAATTTATGAATGAGGAATTATAAAAATTATGTTTTTTTCTAAGCTTGGATCAATTTCTGGTGATCATTTTGGTGAAATTTGCTATTTCAAACAAACCAGTATATGAGGGCCGGCGCCGCGGCTCACTAGGCTAATCCTCCGCCTAGCGGCGCCGGCACACCGGGTTCTAGTCCCGGTCGGGGCGCCGGATTCTGTCCCGGTTGCCCCTCTTCCAGGCCAGCCCTCTGCTGTGGCCAGGGAGTGCAGTGGAGGATGGCCCAGGTGCTTGGGCCCTGCACCCCATGGGAGACCAGGAAAAGCACCTGACTCCTGGCTCCTGCCATCGGATCAGCGCGGTGCGCCAGCCGCGGCGGCCATTGGAGGGTGAACCAACAGACCTTTCTCTCTGTCTCTCTCTCTCACTGTCCACTCTGCCTGTCAAAAAAATAAAAAAAAAAAAAAGTATTAAAAAAAAAAAAAAAAAACAAACCAGTATATGAAATAACTTTTTACCCAATCTAAGGATGTGTGTCTTCTATTCTGCAAAGTTCTCAGTATTTTATCTCTTCTAATGTTTCCTCTTCCTCATTTTAGCTATTTTCTCCATTTGGAACACTACTTCCACATGTGTTGGAGCTTCTCATTTGACCCTTTATAACTTTGTTTTTATTTCACCATGTATGTATTTTACTGCATTCAGGATGATATCTTACACATACAGGATAATCTATGCTATGCTGCTTCATAAATAAACTCAGAAAAACAGAAGTTTTCTTCTTGCCTGTATCACAGTTTGATGCAAGTTGGGGAGGGGGTTGGAGGTCCCTGGATAGGTCTCCACAAGCTGTGACTCGGAGATCAAACTTCTTTCCATAACCATAACCAACATGTGGTCTTCATGATCTCCAAGGGAGGGGTTCATCACCCGGGGTGTTCTGTGGCCTTCCCTAAAGGTTAAATGCATTCCTTTCACTCATGTCCCAGTCACAGGATCCCAATGTCACTGCAAAGGCATCCAGAAAATAGGTTTTTTTTTTTATGTGCCCAGTAGAGGAAGTGATGTTGGTGAGTACTGAGCAAGCCTCTACCAAAATTATTTATTTCTCTTTTTCAGTACACTGGTTCTCTTTTACTTTATCTAGCCTACTAAATCCCATCTACCATGTTCTTCCCTCAATTTCTTTTATTTTCAGTAATTTGAGGTTCATGTTTATATGTGTTTTTTCCAAACTTATAACCTATTGTCAATGTAAGAATATTATTTTTTATTTATCTCATTGAGGACTCTAAACAAACTTGTTTTAAACACCTTGGCAGATTACTCCATTGTTTCAGTTCCTCAGGGATGATTTGTCCCAATGGTCGACCCTACCAACCTGTTCTGATTCCTATGAATGTTCTTACGTGCTGTGTGAAAGCTGATGATTCATGCTTACTCCTCCCTGTAGAATGGGGTCATTATTGTCTCAGCCTGGTCCTCTGCGATGCACAGCTCTAGCTAGTCTTCATAGACGCTCTGGGGCATTTTGCTCAATTATGCAAGGCCATTGGGGATGACATAGCTCTAGGGCCTCTTTAAATGTAAGAGTCTCTGCTTCCTGTCATTCCAAGCACACAGGTTCTGAAAATTTAGTTAGCACTAGCTTAGCCTCCTTGCTTAGTCCCGGGCTGCAGATAGGGAGCTGGATTCTGGTTCCTATCCACTGACTTTTCCCATGGAATGCCCTGTTCAACACATTCTACATGGTTCCAGCTTTTCTTGTCCTGCATGGTTTCAGTTCTGCCTACCTCCTTGCAAATGCACCATCATATATGTTACTCAACACACATGATATTATAGTTATTTGTGAATAGCTCTGTCTTAACTAGACTGTAAGCACTGTAAGGGTAGACACTATGCCCTCTTTATGTTACTGCCTCAGAGCTCAGCACAATGGCTCCAGATTAGGGGCACTCAGTGTTGGTGAAATTGAATTTGATATGTTTTAGGGTCTTTTGAGAAATCCAATTTTTATTATCATCTAGAAATGAGTCTCCAGTAGTACAACATGATGTTTGTGGGAGATAATTTACAGACACAACTAAAAGGCATGTATTTGGACTCTGTAAATGATTTTCTGATCGGCCTGTTTGTATGCTAACTTGTGCAAGGCCTTTTATTTGCTCTCATTTTGCTCTTTTGAAGATATAATTGCTTCTTGGTTCCATATTTCTATTGCTCATTACTCTGTTCCATACCATTTCATTCTGAAAAGAAAGCAAAATAGGATGTTTAAAATTAATGATGTGGGGCACAGCTTTTTTCCTTCCCTCTACCTCTAGGCAGAATTAGCAAATGGCTTGAACACCAGCCATTCTTTTTATTGGAAGCATCTGGGTTTCATTAGGGTAAGAAAAATCACTGCTTACAAGGGGAGAGGCCCCAGACCTTTGCAATCACAGGGATGTTTATCTACTCCTACTGCTTCCTCCCCAAACCAGGCAAGCGTGTGGTAACTGCTTCTGTTTCAATGCAACTTAAAGAGTCAGAGACACTGGTTCTACAATTTAGAAATTCCGAGGGCAGGGGTTTCCTCACTGGTTTCGTTTCCAAAGATTCAGAAATGAGCAGTTTCTCAGATGACACACGATGCTGTGTGGCAGAGCTTACATCTTTTGAAAACTGCCCCTCCCCCTGAAGAAACTGTAACAGCAGTAGTCATGCTTTTACCTTGTGAGGGTAGTTGGAGTGCTGTCTCCCCCTCTGGAGCCAAGTGTAACTTGGTTATAATGGAACATTCAAAGACACACCATGGAACCATCATAGCGGGAGATGGAATGTTCGGTGACAGGTGTTTCAAAAGCAATAGTAGCTGTTCCAGCAGGTATGAAGCTTGTGAGCTACCCCTGCATCCTAACAAGTGAAAAATGGAACAAATGGAAAAAAATCAACAACTTTTCTTAGATCCATAAAAGAAGTGAGGTTGCAGGGCAAACCTCTCCAAAACTGGAGAGATACACAGGCAAAGACAGAGAGCCATAACTTACTGGAGCAAGAACCAGTGCTGGGTTGGGAGAAACTGAACTGTAGACTATGAATTGCTAGCAGTTCAGTGTAAACAGCTCTGAGACGTAAGAGATCCAGGGGATCAAGGGCTGGTGTTGGAGCACAGCAGATTTAACCCCAACTTGTGCTGCTGACAGCCCATATCAGAGTGTCAGTTCAAGTTCTGGATGCTCCACTTCCAATCCAGCTTCCTGCTAATACACCTGAGAAGGTGCTGGGTGATGGCTTCTGCCATCAGTGTGAGAGACCAGGATTGAATTTCTGTCTCCTAACTTCAGCCTGGCCGAGACCCAGGGAGTCCCATTCACAGAGAGGGGCCCACATTTTCTGTATTTTACCTCCAGGAGCTTGACTTTGAGAGGGGAAAAGAAGCACCTTGAAACATGACAGTGAATTCTGTCCTTAACAAAGCCCATTCTAAGGAGAAGCTTTGAGAGCCTAACCTGCCGGTTTTTTTTTTTTTAATTTGATAGGTAGAGTTACAGACAGAGAGAGAGAGACAGAGAGAAAGATCTTCCTCTGTTGGTTCACTCCCCAAATGGCTGTGATGGCCGGCACTGCGCCGATCCAAAGCCAGGAGCCAGGTGCTTCTTCCTGGTCTCCTATGTGGGTGCAGGGGCCCAAGCACTTGGGCCATCCTCCATTGCCCTCCCGGGCCCCAGCAGAGAGCTGGACTGGAAGAGGAGCAACCAGGACTAGAACCTGGCACCCATATGGGATGCCGGCTCGGCAAGGCTGAGGATTAGCCAAGTGAGCCAGGGTGCCGGCCCCCCTGCCGGGTTTTATTGGAGCTTATCTAATCCAACTCCAGCTCACCATAGTCATCTGGGTGGGAAACTGAAAAGCACATGTAAAGTTCCAAAGCAAAGGCTCATTAAAGTACTGAGCCTCAATCACAAGTTGGTAGAATCATCCCTTCCCCACGACTTTACCAACACATTATTAAAAGTTGCTTTGTAGCAATTTCTTTTACCCACTACATCACATCTGGCTATCAAGAAAAAAAAATGGCAAAACATGCTAAAAGGCAAAACACTCTTTTTTTTTAAAAAAAAAAAGCTTTATTTATTTATTTGAAAGGCAGAGTTAGAGAGGGAGAGACAGAGAGATCTTCCATCTGTTGGTTCACTCCCCAAATGGCCGAAACGGAAGGAGCTGGACCAGTCTGAAGCCAGGAGCCAGGAGCTTTTTCCAGTTCTCCCATGTGGGTGTAGGGCCCCAAGGACTTGGACCATCTTCCACTGCTTTCCTAGGGGTACTAGCAGAGAGCTCAATCTGAAGAGGAGTAGCTGGGACTTGAACTGGCGCCCATATAGGATGCTGGCACCAAAGGCAGCAGCCCCAACACATGGTTTTAAGAGACAGTGCAAGTATCAGAACCAGACTCAGATATGGTAGGGATATTGGAATCACCAGATTGGGAATTTAAAACAAATATGACAATGCTAAGAACTCTGTTGGATAAATTTGATTGCATGCAAGAACAGATGGGCAGTGTAAGCAGAAAGATGGAAATCCTAAGAAACAATCAAAGAGAAGTTAGAGATTAAAAACTCTGTAACAGAAATGAGGAATGCCTTTGATGGGCCAGGGTTCTCTTGTATTAGTCTACTTATTCTATGGATCTCTCTCTGGACTTAGCCTTTCTCGTGAATTTATGAGGTCAGCTCACCTGATCAGAGAGGCTGAGAAGTTCCACAATAGTTGACTGTAGGCTAGGGAGCAAAAGAAGCCAATAGTGTGGTTCAGTCCAGGAAGCAGAAGTCTTACAACTGGGGAGTGGGACCTAAGGCCCAAGAGTCCCCAGTAAGTCCAGGAGCCCCAGAGCCAAAGAACCTGGCATCTGCTGTCTAGGAACAGCAGCAGGAGAAAATGTGCCCTGCTCCAGCAGAGAACCAGGGAGAGAGCTGCTCCTGTGTTGCTGCTCCATCTAGGTTCCCTACTGGTTGAGTGTCCCCTCCCACATTGTGCATGGATCTTTCCCACTGAGTTTGCTGACCCACACCCTCATCTTTGAAAACACCCTCAAAGACACACCTAGAAGTGAACCTTTTTCCAAATCTCCAGGTCTCCCTCAATCCAGCCAGGCTGACACTCCAAATTAGCCATCACACTCATAGCCTGCACACCTGAGGGGGAAAAATAACTCTGAACTTGAGGAAACCTCAATAGAAATTGCTGTCAAAACTGCAAACAAAATGGAAAAGGACAAAACAAAGCAGCAACCCAGAACTGTGGGACAGTGATAAAAGGTGTAAATGGTGGGAAAGGCAGAAGAAAGAAACAAATGTTTGAAGCAACAAGGACTGAAATTGTCTCAAAATTAATGTCAGACACCAAACCGCAGATCCAGAATGCTCAGACAACACCAAGCAAGACACTGCCAAAAAAACTGCACCAACACATACCATGTTCAAACTGTAGACGATCAGAGATAAAATATCTTGAAAGAAGCCCAAGGGAAGAACATCTTGCCCATAAAGGAGCAAAGATAAGAATTACCTCTGACCTTTCAGAAACTTTGCACAGAAGAAGAGGGTGAAGTGAAATATTGAGAGTGTTGGCAGGAAGAAAACACCAACCTACAATTCTGTAGACAGCAAAATCATCCTTCAAAAGCGAAGGAGAAATAAAGACATTCTCAGACAAATAACATGGAGGGGATCTGTAACCAGTAGACCTGCCATGCAAGAAACGTTAACAGAAGAGAGGAGGAAAATTATAGGTCAGAAACTCCAATTTACATAAATAAAAGAAGACTTAGAAGAAGGAATAAATGAAGGTAAAAACGAAAACTCTTCATTTTCCAATTCTTAATTAATGCAACAGACAGTAGCAGCAATGTATTTGATTATGCATGCTTAAGTGTTTCTGTGTGCTTCTATATTGTTGAGCCTCTGTATTGGCCCACTTTGCATTTGTAAATTCAACTAGCCATGAGTCAAAAAAAAATATTGAAGGGGATGAGTATTTGGTGCAGCAGTTAAGGTGCTACTTAAAGGGTAATGCTTAAAACAGCAGTTAAGTCTGTGCTTGGAACACCTAGATCCCATGTCAGAGTGCCTGGGTCAAGTCTTAGCTTCTCTGCGTCTTCCTCCTGCTTCCTTGCTGATGTGCACCCAGGGAGGCAGCAGGTGATGGCTCAAGAACTTGAGTCCCTGGCACCCACACTGCAAACCCAGGTGGAGTTCCTGGCTCCTGGTTTTGGTTTGGCCCAGCCCTGGCTTGTGGGCATTTGCACAGGGAAGCAGAAGATAAAATGTCTCTCTGTGTCTATCTCCCTGCCTTTCAAGCAAAAAAAAATTTTTTTTTAAAGATGCTGCTTTAATCTTGTACAACAAAAACAAAGCTGGAGGCATCACAATACCAGATTTCAGGACATACTACAGGGCAGTTGTAATCAAAACAGCATGGTACTGGTACAGAAACAGATGGATAGACCAATGGAACAGAATTGAAACACCAGAAATCAACCCAAACATCTACAGCCAACTTATATTTGATCAAGGATCTAAAACCAATTCCTGGAGCAAGGACAGTCTATTCAATAAATGGTGCTGGGAAAACTGGATTTCCACGTGCAGAAGCATGAAGCAAGACCCCTACCTTACACCTTACACCAAAATCCACTCAACATGGATTAAAGACCTAAATCTACGACCTGACACCATCAAGTTACTAGAGAACATTGGAGAAACCCTTCAAGATATTGGCACAGGCAAAGAGTTTCTGGAAAAGACCCAGGAGGCACAGGCAGTCAAAGCCAAAATCAACTATTGGGATTGCATCAAATTGAGAAGTTTCTGTACTGCAAAAGAAACAGTCAGGAGAGTGAAGAGACAACCGACAGAATGGGAAAAAATATTTGCAAACTATGCAACAGATAAAGGGTTAATAACCAGAATCTACAAAGAGATCAAGAAACTCCACAAAAACAAAACCAACAACCCACTTAAGAGATGGGCCAAGGACCTCAATAGACATTTTTCAAAAGAGGAAATCCAAATGGCCAACAGGCACATGAAAAAATGTTCAAGATCACTAGCCATCAGGGAAATGCAAATCAAAACCACAATGAGGTTTCACCTCACCCCGGTTAGAATGGCTCACATTCAGAAATCTACCAACAACAGATGCTGGCGAGGATGTGGGGAAAAAGGGACACTAACCCACTGTTGGTGGGAATGCAAACTGGTCAAGCCACTATGGAAGTCAGTCTGGAGATTCCTCAGAAACCTGAAGATAACCCTACCGTTCGACCCAGCCATCCCACTCCTTGGAATTTACCCAAAGGAATTTAAATTGGCAAACAAGCAAGTGTCTGCAGCCTAATGTTTATTGCAGCTCAATTCACATTAGCTAAGACCTGGAACCAACCTAAATGCCCATCAACGGTAGACTGGATAAAGAAATTATGGGACATGCACTCTTTAGAATACTATACCGCAGTAAGAAACAACGAAATCCAGTCATTTGCAACAAAATGGAGGAATCTGGAACACATCATGCTGAGTGAAATAAGCCAGTCCCAAAGGGACAATTACCATATGTTCTCCCTGATCGGTGACAACTGACTGAACACCAAAAAGGAAACCTGTTGAAGTGAAATGGACACTATGGGAAACGGTGACTTGATCAGCATAGCCCTGACTGTTAATGAACAACTTAATACATTATCCCTCTTAGTAGTTTTTTTGTCTGTTCTACTTAATACTACTGGTTTAATTCTGTAATTAATACACAGTTATTCTTAAGTGTTGAAATTTAACTGAAATGTGATCCCTGTTAAGTATAAGAGTGGGAATAAGAGTGGGAAGAGATGCACAATTTGGGACATGCTCAAGCTG